GTCTCAGTGTCACACCTGTCCTGTATCATTTTCTGTTCTGTTCTTTTCTTTTCTGTTTTCTTAAGCCTCCTTTTTCTCAACTGCCCACGCATGTTATACATATAAAACTTCATCAACCGTTTGTTCATTATTTACTTCACTCTTATTTTATTTTTTTTTTCTGCTTCGTATTGAACGCCTTTCTTGTAACTGCTTCATAGCATGCTCGCTGTTTCTCTTACTCTTGTCGTCCTCTCTGTTTTACGACCTTTCCTTTCCAACTCTGTGTACATATTTTTCTTTTCTGGCTCTAGTTCTCTGCAGTTTCACTCTCTTTTTTGTGTTGCTGGGCGTTTCTGCTCGACTGCCTTCCGCACAATTCATGGTCTGTATGATACCTGCGGTACCCTTTATGTTCTTCTCTGTAATATCTTCTTTACAACTTTCTCAACCTCTATTAGCGACGTGTTTGCTCGGATAGAGCTATTCTCTTCAAGAGCGGGGTGTAATCGGCAAGTTGATCACCGTGACCGGGACCCCGATTTACATGACATTGAAGTTCGAAACGTTCTCGGTAATCCCTGTGAATTCTTGGTGATTATCGACCCTTTTCTAATGATTTCTGGTTCCTTCGCAATCATGGATTTTCGGGTGCTATCTGATCTATAACGTAGAACGGTAACGTGTAATCCACTTTCATACTAGGGAAGTTTTTGGTGAACAACATTTTCCTTAACCGAATGGAAGGTGTTTTTGTAGGCAAAATTCGTTCTTTGTACTGTTTAGGTAATAGCATCACCATGAACTGCACTGCTCCACCCAACTCTGCACTCGGGAGGGGAAACAAGTCACAGTTTGATCATGGGAATCCGTACTCGTTGCAGCAATTCTCTCCGTTGTAAAGTCATAAAGCGGAAGGGCTCCAACCAATATTGTTGAAACAGTCCAGTTTTAGCCCTGTATTTGTTTATTTCCCTGTCTTCATAGCGCAATGCACGATGCGCGTTGTCGTGGCAGTGTATTGCAGAGGAATCTAGAAAATATCGATTACATGTGGGTGCATAATTGTCTGTGTTTGCCGGACTTCATGCTGCCACCAAGATTTTGATTCGGGAGTTTTAGCAATGCTTAGTTAAAGCTCTGCTAGATATCATGTTTTCGTTATTCGCTCTTCTATGTTACCACTTTCCATTGCCGCATGTATGACATATTTGAGGGATCATCGTCTTATCATTATGCAAGGTCAGGGCATGTCATACATACCCACAGATCGATCAACCGGTGCCCATATGATTTTCGTCTACCCCATCCACACAGTGTTCGCACACTGTCTGCTGTGTAGCTATTACGACCATTTGCAAAAGTTTTGTGCGAAAAGAGGGTCGATGTAATCGGTCAATGTTAGAGAGGGAATAGAAGTCCAATGTGCTTGCTCCTGCCGTCAGCTGGGGCTTGCAGCTCCATAATTCACACCCGCCGTCGGTGGCCTCTGCAGCGTAGCGCTCTTTCAGCGACCCTCTTTGCTGCACCTCTTGTTTGCCTACGCTGTTTCACTCCCCCTCTTTCTATGCTTTGGACCTTCCGTGAACACGACGCCTTTCCGAACCCCGGATCAATATTTCCTAGGTTTTTCGTGTTCCCACCCATTTCATTCATTCATTTCTGTTCTGTTCTTTTTCCTCTTTCTGGCTGTGTTCAGTGTTAGTGTACTGTTGTTCTGCTTAATTATTTGGTTGCTCTTACTTCAGGGTAATTGACAACGCAACGAATGGCATTTATTACACACAAGGCGGTAATCAAGGCTGGAAAAAGAATCTGAGTGGTGAGGAGACAAACGATTCGCAAGTCGTCGTTGTTGGGCCGATGTCTTCACCAGAACTCTCAACCACGTCTACGAAAACCACAACGGCGAATCCAGCAGTCACGAAAAAGCCTCAATCTCCTCAGAAGGAAGAGAAACCACAACCCCTCGCCAACGGCGGTAATCGGATTTCAACGGGATCATCGAAAGGTGTTCGAAGTGAAATGCGTGGTATCAACGCCAAGTCCGATTACTGGCATAAGAACGCTGAGAGAAGAGACAGTGACAAACCAAGAGCATTCTACCAACGCAACGATAGATACCAATCGAGGAACCCGCACGCTCCTCCAAAACTCACTCCGGCCCAACGCAAGGCACGAGGTCCTCTTCCGGACTGGGAGGAAATCCAGGATGGTGAAGACAATTTTGATTACATGAATCTTATGGATTCGCAATATGCACAGTATTATGCAATGTCGTCGATACCGCCATTTGACGGTGTCGGAGGAATGGACCCACAAGTCTGTAGCCTGATGATAGCACAGGCACAGCAACATATGGCAGCATTTGGCTTTCGTCCTACTATTCCTCTCATGCAGCCTCACATAGTCGCACCTCCTCCGGAACCTGTTGGTGTCACACCGCTTCTTAGCCCGCAAGGAACAATGCTGACTGCTGCAGTTGGTGACACTATCAATACGGCCATACCATTTGCCCCAATATACCCGACACAACCCCCATTCGTGCCGCTTAACGACGAAACGTTGAAGGATTGTGTTCGCAAGCAAATGTTAGTTTTGTTACTGTTGAGTCTCCTTCTTCACTATTATTTTTCCGCAGTCTTCGTTTTTCAGCGAATATTATTTCTCCGCGGACAATCTCCAAAAGGATTTCTTTTTGCGCCGCAAGATGAATTCAGATGGATTTCTTCCTATCACACTTATTGCGTCATTTCCACGTGTTCGTTCTTTAACTCAAGATCTGACACTGATTTGTGAAGGTCTTCGGGATAGCGAAAAGGTAATGTTCTGCAAAAAAAAANAAAAAAAAACATGTGTCTTAGTGTTGTTCGAAATCTTATCATTTTAGGTAGAGTTATCCGAAGACGCAAATATGGTTCGGCCCCGCTTGAATCCTACGGACTGGCCTCTGGCCCCCACAGTGCATCCCGCTCAGCCTACTACAAGCCAAAGTGAACCTGTTGTCAGTACGGCATCCGGATCTACTACTGCTGAGCCATCTGCAAGTCAGGTGAAGACTCAACAGGAGCAGCAAGCAAAGCAGAGCGATGTAAGTAATACGTACGGTATTGCGTCTTTTTTTTAAATGAGATGAGCTTTGGCTGAAGAAAACTAAAATGATGATTACGGTGAAATCGTTTTAGTGGAAACGTATTTCTGAGAATACATTTCCACAGTTCAATCTCTTTAGGGATCTAATTTTAGCCTTTTCCTTCAACAGGATATTTCAGGAGAGTGCCGCGGCTCCCAAAACTGAAGCAGCAGCACCTGGCCCACAGCCTTCCAATGAGAAAAAAGTGCAGCCACATTCATCTACTTCTAAGCCTACTCCTGCTTCGGCAGAAGAGGTGTTCCTAGCAAGGTTTTCATTGTTTTCTCGTGTGTATAAAATAACTTACTTAGGGATGGGAGGAAGTCAAACCGAAAAGGAAAGGAAAAGGACGTGCTGAAAAGCCCACCACCGTCAAGGACACAAGTGGTGGAGAGCAAGATTTGGATTTCCAGTTTGATAATGAATTGGAAATTAGCGCAGGTGGCAGTGAAACTCCTAAACGGGACAAACCCTTAAAGGGTATTCGCTTGAGGTTTGATTTGTTGATTTTACACAATTATACTTGAAACAGCTTCATATTCCCTCTTGTATATAGTAGTACTTTGAGTAGTTTGGATGATTGCTGAAGCGCAATTAAATAACCTCTCTTTGGGAATGACTATCTATTAGTAATTTTGGTGCGACTGCTTATGCTCCTGTGCTAGCGTTTTTGGAATGACTGACTCCTTATCACCAGCTGCATCAGTGGTTAGCTGAAACAAGGGGTTGCTGAGAACACTGGTTCTTCTGTTCTCTGGAAAGCAAACTTGAAATGTATGTTGAACCTATTTCAGTGCTGATGCATTCGAGGAAATCGGTGATGATATTGTTAATAAGTTGATAATCATGACGCCCATGAAACGAACATTGGATAGAACCGGTGATTTCACTTCTCGTTCCAAACATCATGCAGAATTCAATGAGGAGGTTGAAATTGGTCTTCGAAGATATGAAGAAGAGCTGTGGAGTGCACCTGTCGAGAAGGAAGCTTCGGTTAGTTGTATAGTTGCTAGACAAGTTCTTCACTTTGCGAATAATATTAGGTTTATGGTTTAGCATGTGTGGTGAAATATCCTCTTTTCCTCAGGAAATGATTAACACCGTGGTTTTGAGAATGGATGAATGGGAAGGGGCTTATTTTGGAGCTCGAGATTTTCCGTAGCGCGTATTTTCTTACTTTGACCTCTTAGTTTACCTTTGGAGTGGCACACATCGGTTTCCCGAATCTATGAATGGAGTAATTCGTCAAATTAATGGGCGCTCTTTTTATCTTTATCTATGTGTGTCATAAGTTGAATTGGGAAGACTTTGCGGTATTTGTTGGGCACCCACGGAAAGGGCTGGAATGGGTCGTTCAGATTTTGCTACTCAAACAAATCCGGATGTGTTGGAAGTTCTCGAAGGTTAAATGTATTTCACAAAATATTTTCATTCTTTCTGAATCCTTTTCGGATTTTTTCCTTATAACTTTTTGAACAACGAGTTTGCATTACCATATTGTTGTTGAATGGTTATTCATTGGTGCGGCGTCTAAGCATAAAACACTAGTACATTAAATATGAATCAATGGATGCGATTTATTTTGCTGTTTTGTCCATGGTTGGTTGATGTATGGGTGGAATGAGACGGACCTTTTTATAATATATTATTAACAAAACCTTGTGAACGTCTCTTTAAACGTGGTTCGTAGGTGTGGTGTGATTTACAGGTGAAGTCCAAGATTTCTACGATTAACCAAGAAGAGTTCCGTCTACAAAAAGGAGAGGATGCTGCCACGACAGAACAGGGACCACCGCCCGACATTCCTCTTGCTCAAGCGGGAACCCCGCCACCATCTATATGGACCCAGAAGGCAAAAGAACGGTCTTCTCTTGGTGTTGTGGTATGTGCGCAGCGCCAAACAACGGGAATTTTCTTTGCTTTTTTGTGATCATGTTCCCTGCATTCGTGTGACTGCTTTTTCAAATTGATATGAATGCAAAGAATGTGGCTGTGGTATGCTGATTGTTGAAGACTGTTTCAGCCGAAGAGTCCCATGCAACGACGTGAATCGGTGGAGCAGAAAGTTTCTCGTTTCTATCCGGTGGAAAAGCCGGCGGCACTCATAGATGCGAAATCCCCACGCAAACAGAAGACGAGGTCCTTGTTCATTTGTTCTATTTCTTTATTAGAACGGCTGCTTTCATAGTCCACGATTTGGCGAGCGACCGATCGCGCGATCGGTCCAGCTCCAGCGCTCGGTCGCTCACTCGGTGGGTCCGCGATCGGTCGCTAGCCAAATCATGGACTATGAAAGCAGCCAACGAGTCATTGTAGCTCTTTAGAACTGGTAGTAGTTCCTAGATTATTGCATCCTTTACGGTCCTGATCACCATTTTGCTATAATAGGCATAGCTCCAATCCTCCTGTCGAAATGCCTGTGGCATGGGTTCTTGGACGTGACGAAGCACCTCCACCTGCCCCGGTGGGGATCGCCGCAAGCAGTAGTCAGATTCCTCCAGCACATCCGTCGGTTTCTTTATTACAAGAGGATAATTTTGTCCAAAACGTAAGTAAATCATTGCCGATGTGTTGTTGAAGACCATTTTTGTTCTTCCTTAAGGTGTACTCTACATGGAGGCAGTCTTGCCTAAAACAACGAAAAAGCCTTGGATACGACTGTGCGGAGATGAACACGTTATATCGTTTTTGGTCATTCTTCTTACGAGATAATTTTAATCGAAAAATGTATGAAGAGTTCCGTCAACTCGCTCTTGAGGATGATGAAAAAGGGTAAGTACAATGTAAAATCACTTCAGTTCGAGAGTATCCAGGAGCATAGTTTGTTAATAGGGATGTGGTCTCCATTCTTCATTACAACTTGGTTCGATCAATAGTTAAACTTAGTTCATTACGTTTTGAAGAGAGAGTCGCTGATCTGGGTCAAATATCTCTCGACATTTTTTTCTAGATAATCTGTTAGACGCTAATATTGTAGGAGGGTTCACTTCAGATAAAACTATTCGAAAGCCGTTGAAGATTCGGAAGGCAAAATCTGGGATACATTTTGCGAAGGTTTGCTATTTGTTGGGCGGGATTCGAGGGAATGTGGCAAAACAAAGCTCAGTTACTTGGCAGCTCTTTGACCTTTTTGAAATTTTTATGAGAAAGTGTCCGTCTCTGCTTGACTTAAAAAGCATCAACAATGCCAGGCCACGCGACTCTGAGAAACTCTGCTGAAGGGTTAGTCAATGGGAAATGCTTTAGTACCCACTGGGCATACTTAGACTTCAGCGACGTGCGTTGTTTCAACCGAAGTTCGACCGACAGCGTTGCTGGCCACGCATTGACACGCTAGACACCGATCGATACCGATTGAAGCAACCGTCCTGCATTGTCAACATGTGGCCAGCAACGCTGTCGTTCAGTCGGACTTTTGTTGAAAACACGCACGTCTTTGAAGTGTGAAAGCGTCCTCTGATTTCTCAAGTGCGCTTTCCAGCCTTCCGGGCTATCTGGCAAAATCGTATGGCAAATAATGGCAAATAAAGACTGCCTTACTCCTATTCACATGCTTCTCAAGAACGATCAATTTGATATGAAGAAAAAACGAATGAAAAATGAATTGGAAATAAATGGAATTTCACACGTTGAAGTTAGTCATTGGATTGGGATTGAGCTCAGCAATCAAATCATCAAAAAGTCTCAAGGGTTTTTATGGTTTTTTTTGGATTTGTTCTAGCTGGTGTTTCATTTCCTTCTTTTAGATTCCGATATGGTATTGAAGCTCTTTTCCGCTTCTATAGCTACGGGCTAGAAAAGAAATTCCGACCGGAAATTTACAAAAATTTTGTGAAGGACTGTATTGCCGATGTGAAAAATGGGCAGTTGTACGGTCTAGAGAAGTTCTTCATGTTCATGAAACGGTGAGCGCTTTGTTCAGCTTGCTTTGGTTTGAGTTTCCATTTGCTCAAAGGATTTTCAGATGTAAAATAGCCAAACAGCTCGTTGTCGATCCATTCTTGCAGAAAGAACTTGAAAAGTATAAAACTGCCGACGACTTTTATATTGTGAGTTCCTTGAGCTCTGAATATCTTCTTCAGTTAGTTGTCAAATAATAGAGTAGGGTTGCACGATTATTTCTGTAGAGTGCATGATCAGCTTGGTTGAAGGATGCATCTTGAGATTTAGAAAACGTAATAAATCTCTGTTACAACGCTTTAAACCATTATATATTCGTGCAAGGGAACTGGTATCCTAAAATTTACTATTTTTTAGACAAGTGCCGATGATAAGAAGAAGGTTGCTGCCGCGAAGAATTAGACTGGTATGCTTCAATGTGTTCACATTTCCATGGTATGTATGTTTTTCTCTGAACTGGTTATCTCAAAATAGTTTGTTGTTTTGCCTTTAACGGCGTTGTTACCCTACGATGGAGCTCTTTGTTGAGATGCTGGATTGTCTGCTCAAGGAGGGGTTTTCCATCAAATTGTAAGCAATACAAATCAATTTGACTTTTATGTATTCATGGTGACAATAGCCCCTCCTTTAGTGCATCTGTCAAATGTCCACGTTAATAGATTAATTGATCGATGTAGCTATCTAGAAAGCTCCCGGTTGGAATACGATTGTTCTCAAACATTTGCTCCAATCTCGTGGGGTGAAATTAGTACCTCCTAGAAGGTCGTAATAGTTGTTCCCGCTATGTTCGGTTTTCCTTTGTTGAAATTGCGTTGAGGAATTTTTGTTGCTAATTTGAACTATGTTCACGTACATTTACAAATCACAGTTGATTTGGGGCTTCCTCCTGTCCATTTTCTTCTCTGCCCAACTATAAGCTATCCCCAAGTCAATATCGTTTTGCTCATGCAATCAGTCTCGGTTTTGTTGATTATTTCCAAAGTCTAGCATAGATTTTCTATCTTAACGCCGCGTTCTATCATCATCTTAAAACAGCACATCGTTCTTCGGTTTCATTTTGTTCTTTTTTTTTTCTTCTTAACCGTGTTGGAATTAACTAAAACACAAAAAAAAACTTTATTAGAGATTGATGTGTATTTTTATGTATGCTATCTTCCCTTATTTCTGTTTGAAATAAATATCTTGCTTTGGTGAACATTACACAACATTGATTTTAAGCAATTCAATAGGCTTCAATATTTTCTTTTTTCCGAACGGAAATTATAGTTCTGATCGCGCTGCTGGATCAGTCACTAGCCTAGTAGCGGTGTATTTAACGCGCGTGCAGAGGCAGTTGTTCGGCGTTCTTGATGGCTGCTGCTATCGGGGCCCACATTGCGGGGCCCAATCAATGCAATGTACAAAGGAATGCCGAGAAGTTTGACACGTTGTGGCGCAATACCGCCTGCTCAGACTCATCCCACTATCATCAAATCAGTTGGACCTAATGACCTCCAGGTTATCGTTTGCAACGACTTGGCCACAATTTACCTCAAGCCTAATTAGGCAGGTCATATTTTACCAGGCGTTTTACCATTCTGTACAACATTATAAACTATTAGAACTTTTTATATACAAATAAATACTCTCAAAAATAATTGATGTAGAATCTCTTTGATACAAACAAATAATGAAAATGGTATATTTCTCTAGTCTACTCGCGTGAGGTCGTTGGAATGGGGCCCATTTCGCTTAGGGGATGTTCAGTAAACACTGCATAACAGTCATCACCGAATTCTCCTTGTCTAATGTTGGTTAGAAACTAACCTAGGATCTGGGAGCTTTACATTCCCTTACACAGTAATAAGGTAAATGCCTGTTAATGCCCTTTCAGTGCGATTATCTCTCTGGAATGCTTTGGGCAAACTTTTTTCGCCGCCTGCCCGCGAGTTTTTCTAATTAGCGACTTCAGCCCGTAGCTCCTCATATTTCTGACATCGGCGTACGAATGATGTTCATTAATGAGTGTCGGAGGCTGCTCAGTAGAGGAATGGAACCTCTGCTAGAGTTTGAAGGGACCAGCGATCGAAAACTGTTCAGTGCAGCTGTACTATCGCCAAGAAAAGAATAGTGACGGTTTGTGCCGCTAGAGAAAATGGTGCTTAGACGTTTCTGCAGTGTTTAATGAACCCCCTCCCCTTACCACTTGTGGTCATCACCGCTGAAACCTATGGGTTCTCTTCGAGGACACGTTGAATGCATGCTGACAGCTGCTCGTACGTTATACGAGGGATTTTGTGATCTGAAATTTCAAGAAAATAGGAAAAGTCAAACTCAAACCTTGGCAATATCGCTTGACTTGCCATTCTGATAGCCAGATTTGAAAATATCAGTGAGGACCGGTCGAAAATCCGAATAGCCCAGGTCCAGTTCGATCTCCTCGTGTGATTCCGTGGACAGCTACAACATCGAGAATGAATCATGAGCGAGATGCTCCTTTTTCGAGCTCCTTTTACCTTTCGAAGGTGCTTCTTGATCATCTCAGCGTTACTTGTGGGGCTGAAAATCCGTCTGCGAAACTGCTCCACAACTCGTCTCTTGTGATTCGTTGACTCAGAAGGACCTCAAAGTTTTCTTCTTATCAATTATCCTCAGAAAAACTCTATACATACTCACTCAGTTCACTAATCATGATTATTTTGTGAATCTGCGATAGAATGTCCAATAGTGGGTCGCTGATCGGTTGTAACGAAGCGGATCTGAAAACGAAGCAGCAGCCTTCAACATTACCATACCCATGCATATTGTAATTGCGTACCGTACGGTCAGACCCTCTTGGCTTTTAATCATGCGTTTGTCGACTGATCCGGACGAGTTGGCTCTTCGATGGTCAGCTTCAGTGATTGTTATTCGACGTCCCTTAAGCGAAATAGACAACAGCAAGGTAACAAGTATGAAGTACGGTACTTACCCGCCCTGAACCTCCAATCTTTGGTAAGAAGCATGATGTGCTGCTTGGTAAATTTCGACTAGATTGCCCAGCAGATAAGGATTTGATGGCTAGAATGAGCAGATAATTCTCAAATCGGCTTTCTTACAGTAGACGGAAACAGGTAGATTTATTCCGATAGAAGAGCAGCTGGAATGTGGAGGTGGTTTAGTGGAAAGTGGCACACTATCGCGCATGATTTCGAATTTGACTCCAATTGATATCCGCTTAGGCCAAGTCCATCTTCCCTCTGGTGTCGATAAGTTGGTACCAGACCTGTCTGGGATTATAAAAACACTGAAATGTATATCTGTCCCACCGCCATTCACTGCACAGGCCACATACGTATTCACTACGTCACTACTATATTCAATTGGCGTTGTATGTGGGGAGCTTCCCTCCATGTTCGGAGGAGATTGTTTAAAGCCGACAGAACGTATCCTTAAGACTTTTAATTCTTGGAGATGAGAGTGGGATTACTCATAAGGTTGGCGACTTGTGGACAAAACTTCAGTCTCGGACGGGACTCGAACCGATATTTGCCCTTTTCGGCAACCGTGCTCTCGTCCCTTACACTACCGAGATCCCGCTTGTCCTTGCCTGTCCGTCTTGGGACCCGTTACGACTTTCATTTGGAGTCTAAATGGCATTTTAAAATGCGCATAAAAGATAAAGGATAAAGTCTTGAGAGCGTTGATCGATCTCGTCTGAGGGATGCGCCTACGCATTCGACTTCCATCCAGAATCGTAGTGGTGTGATGAATGCGTGTATGGCTTAATCAATGACTTGCGGTGGGCAGCCTATGGACAAGTTAGTGCTCTTATCCTCACAGACAGGTATGGTGCCAATCAACCGACCACGTAGGAAACGGAAGGTTTGGTTGGCCACAGCAGATTCAACCGAGATTCGAACCTGTAACCATGCGTGTGTGAAGGGTGCAACTTGTCACTGCACCACCTTCACCAATTAACCCCAACCGAGAGGGGTGGATGGTTTGGTTTCGTGAGTATCAACCAGACTTTCGATCCTCGGGTTGTAGGTGTGATACCACGCTACTTTCCTACACCATATCTTCGTCGTCTTTGTTATTCCTACTTCCTTTTTTAACCCCGCAGAGGAGCTAATTCAACCAACATCAAGGAATCTTTCAGAAATTGCTAAGACCCTATGTATCACTAAAGTTTAAACGATGACGTGAAAAACGTTTCTAAGAAACAAATGTGAAAGATTACACCTTGTCAAACTCACATCTGGGCTTATCGATGCTGTTGTCGATGATAGCCGGTACTTGCTTAGAGATATCCGAGGCTACTGCCTTCCGTCGAGTGAGTACCCCTACTGAAGAGTTTGATGAAGATTCCAAAGAATGGTTTTCTCTGAAACTTGCTCTCCAATCACAGGTCGGCCTAGAAAACACCGATTTTTATGACCGTACGATTTCGCTTGGTGGTACTCTTCTGGTCATATCGTGGCATACCAAAGCGCACTGATATCATTCAAAAGACTATTTATCATTAGCAGCAGACCATAAATTGTCCGCAGTATTTGACAAATGAGCGCACGTCGTCGCTGAGTAGTCACGCTTGGTACGAATACGTATGAGTCGATAGTGAGTGAGTTGGTATGCCACTAGTTAGACCAGTTACACCTAGGGGTTCCAATATGTATTCGGAAGAAGAGGCGAGGATGGATAGGGTTGGTGGTGTAAAGTCACCTTCATCAAAAAGCTTTCCTTGCAAACGGTACTTTCCCGTCTGTGACCATTCCCCTAGTTATTCTAAAAACTACGAAGGCATCTTTCCTCGGACTGTTACACAACCGTTACGAGAATTTCTACTCAAAATTCCGGGGACCTGCTATGCCCTTTTCCGAGTAGTCTATTTATAGGAGACCATCTTCGAGCTAGATGAAATGGCTTCATGTTGTCAGACAATTTTTCGCACCTCTTTTGTTGAAAGCTGGGTTTTTCTTGCAACGCTTTCGCTTTAGAGACGTGCATTCTGAAGATATCGTCGAGACAGAGCAACATCCTCGAGGCGGCGATACGAGCTACTTCCAGAATGTCTGGTCGAGAAGCCGGCGAAACAGTTAGGCATGAGGTGATCAGCTCAGAAAGCTCTCTGCAACAGAAGTTTTCGGGAGTTATTTCGAAGCTAAGGACTTCGTTAAAATTCAGGAATTTTATCTGGGGATTTCGAATAAGGCAGCGTAAAATCGAAGAAATTGTTGACGTCAAGGAAAAATCCGGGGCGACCTATCTGGGCGATCTACCCCAAGCAAAGACTTTTAATGATACATTTGATTGCTGCGACATACGCAGATACTCACCTTTATACTACCAGGGGATAACCTTGAAAACAAGCTGTAACCTACCCAGACGCCTATTGCAGTAGCAAACTTGTGTCATCCCCTACCCAACTATTTTATGGAGCGGTTAGATCGACAGGGATTGAACTATATGGAGGCTAGAGTTTTCGAACTTATGGGGAATTCTAGAAATCGCCTGAGAGACCCCACGACAGAAGCGGATGTGTGCGTGCCCATGATGGTTTCTTGAGAGGTGCTGTAGACAGTGGGTCTCGAACGCAGTGGAAACCCCCAACCGGTCCCTGGAACTAGTTGAGACTAATTGAGAGACCTTAATGAGACTGAAAAAGCGAAAATCCGTGAAGCAGGGTGAGCACCAGAAAATAGCGAACATTACTGAGTTCGAACATAAAATTCGATGCCGTAGTTCTTTTGTATTTAATCGAATTTCAGATAAGAATTGTAAGAAATATAAGAACAAGAAGAAGGAAGCAGTGTCTCTGAATAACTTACTTGCTTCGCTCAGGACCAATGGGGTTGTACTTCCCTTCGACGATTTGTGTGGCCAATGCAAGCATGTTCTGTGAGTAGAATGGTGGACGAAGTTCGGTCATCTCGTAGACGCAACACCCAAACGACCAGACATCCGCTTTCTCACCATATCCCATATTTTGTACAATTTCAGGGCTGAACCACGGGGATCAAGAGATTTCAAGCGATTAAGATCAATCTCAATGACTTCCTACCAACTGTAAACAATGGTTCCTGCAGCTGAGTTCAAGTATTCACTGCCACGCTTTTTGGCAAGGCCAAAATCCGCTGAAAAAGATAAGTGAGAGGGAGTTTTCTATAGTGGTTTAATTCTATCACTCAGATTATCTGTATGCCTAACATTCGGAAGCGCAATAATAGGAATGCCAGGAAGTCAGACATTATCATTACAATGGTTGACTGAATTGGCCAAGCGCTTCTAGCCTCTTAAAAAAGTGTGCTGGGTGTGGGTAGCTCAGGAAATCCCATATCTTAGTGAGTAAAGGGCGCTGGTATGTATAGATCAAGGCAATATGTACGTCAACACATAGCCTCTGTCAATGACTTCTCCACAGGAGAGAGATCGGCAGAAGCAGAACAGAACAGAACAGCAGAAGCCGTCAGTTGCTTACGACTTGTGAAAGGAGGTGTCGCTGGGATCGGATTTCGGATTGGTACTCGCTGAGGTCAAATAAGTCTTCCACCCCTTTGAGGTTGGAAATTGGTATCGGTCTCGTCTGGGAAGACGGAAACATCGACTTGCACGCTATCAGCTCCCGAGTTTGTAGGGGTACATACGCATTCAAAAGCAATTGCTGTTCTGAATGATAGTTTGCTGGTCCTAATCCTAATCCTCTAATATTTATCCATGAGACACTTCCTACTGAAGTCGTTGGATTGGAAGGACTCAAAATTCCTCAGCAATGTTAACCATATCAAAAAAATAAAGGCTGATGGCGATAACAATGTGGCCATGTTGCCTGGTTTTTTCAAAAATCACCAGAAATTGGGCTTTATGAAAGAAAGGCTGCTAGCAACAGAAAAGAAAGTCGATAAGCCGATGGTGTGGTGGGGTAGAGAGGGACTGGAGGAGTGGAGCGGAAGGAGAAGTGGGGATAAGATCTTCGGACTATATATAAATCATTGAATGTGAAATTGAAATAAATGAAACTACTTTTCGAAGTCACTGACTTACGACCACTCTGTCATTCTCCGCTATCATGATGTTATTCGGCTTCAGATCCCGGTGAACGATTTGCTTGTCCTTATGCAGATATCGCAGTGCCAGCACCATCTTAATAAAACAACAGGCTTGAAATACGAAGTTTTCAGCCTTACATGCTACTACCAGTGACGTACTTGGATGACAATGTTCCAAATTCGGTCTTCGGAAAATGTCTGACGTTTCTCTTTAACCGATGTGATGTGTTCTTTCAGTGAGGCCCCTTCGATCAAGTCCATCAGTATGTAAAGGCGATGATTTTCGACGAAAATCCGTCGATATCGTACGATATTTGGGTGACGAAGCTGTAACGAAAAAGTGTTATTCGCATGAATCAACAGGGCCGTAGCTGAAAACGTGACGCCGTGGGGGGTCCGACTTTTTTGTCTTTCACCAACATGATCAAAATTGTTGAATGCGCCCCTTTGACTATCTGTACAGGCAGGAGATTGGTGGGCCTCTCAGGAACAAGAGATTAGAAAAAGGGAAAGACCCCTTTGAATCGTTACACCACAGGGGCATGACTATAATCAAAAAGGGCAGCTCATTCAACACCGAACGTACCTGCTGTTTGATGATCTTCACTTCGCTGATGACGTCTCCAAAGCTCTTGTCGTCCTCGATATTCAGTTGCACCACGAATATCTTCAAATAGCTCAGATGGAAATGAGTTCAACTTTAGTGGGAAGTAGAAATTCAGAAACGGCTAGGTTGACTTTTACGATTCTCCCAAGTCCTAGCTTCCCCCTAACGCCTTCTAATGGAAGTGACGAAAAAACGAGTACTACTCTTAATCAAGTTACTGAGGATTAGTCTGTTGGTGGTAATCATCTCCGATTACAGGAGCGCCCTGACATTCGGATTCCATTAAGAGTCGTAATAGGCTCACATATATCGCGAAGGCAAGCGGGATCTCGGTAGTGTAAGGGATAAAGAGGATGATGGCCGGATAGCACACGTGTGGGTTCGAGTCCCATCAGAGGCCGAAGATTTGCCTATAATCCGTCGCCCCCGTGAGGCTTGTATCGGCAGAATAAAGGCGGTTAAGAAAACATGAATTCCAAACAAATCGTAGTAGCGTTTGAATGCTTATCTGGCCTATTCAGGGCCTTGCGGGGCCTGCCGATGCACTACTAAGGGTCTCCTTCTTGGCCTAGATGAGTCTGCTGCTAATCAAGTGACCCCTGGAGATGGAGGGATTGTTTGACTTAGGCGGATATCGTTCCAGGATCTCCAAACCATGCCTGTGTTAAGGTGCACTGCACTACATCCGCCCGTACCCCCCTTGGTATTTATGCTGTTCTTACTGGCTGGAGAGTTTCGCCTTTAAATCATAGAAAATTCATTAACAGATGGAGAATCATACAAAACCTCCTTGAGTGCGTAATACTGTGGAGAGCCGTTATCAGTGACCGTTCCACGCTTCCGAACAGTGTAGACACAGCCAAAAGCCCCAGCACCGAGCTGGTCAAGCAGGTCGTATTCAGCCACTCGACCGATTGGCGCACGCTTCTGATTTACACCTTCCCATGAGGCTTGCAATTCTGAGGCTGTGGAGCTCTCCTGAAGTAGTACCTCCTGTTAAGGTGTTCATGACTACGTTACAGCCTACATACTTCTACTGTAGACTACCTGAAGAACTTACAATGAGTTTGGAGTACTCGACGGCAAGTGGTCGATAGGCAGACAGGTCTTGAACGTAGTGACCAATGTCGATGAACTGCTCGAAGAACGCGATGGGGAAGACCTTCTTGAAAAGTCCACGATTCCGCTCCAAAGAGAATAAGATGCGTAGTACACGAAATATCGAGCACTGAAACCGTGTAGTGATTGTAGCGGATAAGTCTGGGGTGCAGTTGGTAAACCTGAGTGCTTCTCCAGCCTTGATTGTCAGCAAGCCTCTGGTCTTCAGTGCTGAGCAGCAGAGCTTTGCCAAGTAGGTAGATCCCATTGTTGTTTACTAGATGGTACTGGTTCGAATCGCATTGACAAAGTTGAGCAAGCAGTGCACATAGCCCTGAAAATATGTACGTTCGGATTAAGCTTGCATGAAAGCAGGGCGCCACTTATCTTAGCGGCGGTAGCCTTTCCCTGTTCCCTTGTCATCTCATTAATTTCTATCGCCGAGAAGCAAAATCGAGTGGTACCTGTGATCATTGCAATCCAGTCATTGAGTGCTTTTGCTGGTGCCTTCAGATCGACGAACTCGGCCAAAATAAGAGATATACCGCCCAGCTGTGCAATCTGACAAAAGAAATATCAGGATCGCAGAGCAAAAGGTAACTCAGTATAGACGAGACAGAAAGGTTGAATAGATAGGAACGATAGTGAGCTTGACAACGAGCTGCATTGAAAGGGACAGTTCTTTACCGGGAAGTGGCTCAAGCGCTGATACATGTGCTTGGAGCCCATGTGCTGAATCACCTACAGAAACCGCGGTATGCGGTAACCAAGGATAGAGTTTTGGCGTCAATTACTCCCATTTCGTGATGAGCCCATGAACTCAGCTTCCATTCGGAATCATATTTTTCCTAATATGCGAAGTACAGCCTATTTACGATCGTTGGTCTGATTTCGTGCTATGGGTTCTACAATTCAAATTATGAATCTGACACCGAGCACCCCACCCTAAAGAGGTCAGAGGCCTAGTTGTTATGGACGGATCTCGATCCAGGGTTTGATTTGCTGGCCATGCTTGCGGTAGCGCGCCAGACCAAACCTACAGCTGGAACATGTACCTACACAAACCAACCCACCTCGGTAGAAGTCTCCGGATCTTCCGCTAGTTGAGCCAATGACCACGCAACATGCCACTGAAGTCGTGAGTTCCTTACTGACAGTAATCTGAACAGAAAAGATCAAGGTAGTAAGCTTGTCTTGCAGAATGTCGTACTATTTACTCACCCAACCAGTAGAGGAACTCCATCGTATATACGAATCTGCTCTCGAGCTTGTTCTTCACATGAAAGAATTCGAAGAAGGCTTACGCATAGCCTGCAAAATTCACATCATTCTCAGAGGAATAAATGGAGAACAGGCTTGAACTGCGGCTACAGCAGAGATCAGGCTTACTTTTGAGTCAGCAGGTCTCCCTGCGGAACAAGCTGCAGGCATACATCAATAGCAGTTGAGGCACATAACTCCACACGACAAACAGCTGACCAGTCAGCAACTCGGCCAAGAATCTGGCAGAGCTGACTTTATTACATTGTCATGATATAAGGGTGGAAACGGCTAGGCACACCTCCAGAGCTCCTTGTTGAATGGTCATTTCACGGCAGTTCAGAAAGCGAAGCATGCACTTAGCGATCTGTGCGCGGACAAACAACGCAGCAGTCTCGGCGTCATGTATCAATTTCTGCGTTACATCTGAACGAGTTTCATTTCTGAATTACTACTGTAGAGTCGCTTAAAGGCACAGTTCACAATAAAAATGCCTTATGGGATATGCTGATGAATGAATTTGTGGCCCCCTTATATACCATATGTGGCGTTGTCAGGTCCGAGAACGCCGGGTCCGGGAACTTCTCCCCTAACACGGCGTCGCACTCGTCGCACCCGCCGCCTATCGCAGGACTGCGATGGAAGATTGAAGCGCGCAATTTATGGGGTGGGGAGTCCTTTAACTATTTGAATTGGCTGGCCGCTCTTTTCATTTCCAATGCGGTCGTGAACGTCGTTTATATAGGAGGAGTCATTTCAATCAATCAAGTCTAATAAACATGAAAACTAAAAAGAAACAGAAGGAAAAACGATAAAATCCAATGAAAAAGCAAGCCAATCAACGAAAAATATCGCGTCCTATCGATTGGCGAGAGTACGGTAATTGCAGTGGCATTTGCCGCATGCCGCAAGGGAGAATGCCGCGATAGGGGAGAAGTTCCGTTACCCGAGAACGCCTATGTAAAGGCTCAAAGAGTGTACTGTGTGTATCTTCGGACAAGTTACGCCGGCACTGCAAGGGCTGCACCAATCACGGGGAACCTATGTAGGAAGTTCAAACAACTTGTCATGACCCTCAGCGGCAATGGAAGGCTGTTCTGCACAGTTCTGACTTGATGTAGCCAGATCTTTGCGCAACGGCAACAACTGAAATCTCGTCCGAATACCTTTTCCATGCTACCTCCGTCATGGTAATCTCGTCCAAGCTCTTTTTTCTCTTTTTTGGGAGCCTGTTTCTTTTCGAAATCGCGAATTTACTCGCTTCTTTCACCTGCGATGCACTACCCCTCACCAGTACTTCCGCTTTCGATTAAAAAGGGGACCTCAAAATTATCGTGAACTGTGCCTTTGAAATGAATAGAACCGACTGAGTAGCAGTCCTGCCGATTGTGTGTATTCCATCTCGTAATTGAGGAAATTTCGAGAGAGATAATTGGCAAACTGCAATAGTAACGTCAATGAAACAAGTCAGCAGGAGTAAACAGCAGTACCTGAATGTAATTGGAGTGTTCTCCTATGGAATGGAAGACGTCGATGCAATTGCGATCGCGGAAAAGCACTCTCGCCACCCGAAGCAGGGCACAGACCGACTTCCTCGACGGACATGATGCCGTCCATTGCCTGAAACAATAATTTGCCTTGAAAGCCTGCAATCATGAATTGAGATAAACAGTTCCACATTCCCTCAGAATGTTAAAACGTATGCTGTATATAGGCTGTATGCTAGCGCACATCTTCGGTTAGAATCGAATAACTCATCAAGTAGATGCTCAACTCCCCCTCCAATCGAGTAAAGTGTTCCTTCATCATCAGGTTATTGCATGAGATAACTATCCCACCCATCTCGGTGCTCCTTCCCTGCCGATGTCCATTGTTATCGAGAGGGAAGGAGCACCGAGGTGGGTGAGATAACTATAGCCCCTGGCTGAAAAACGCTCCCGAGCATCATGGCAGGTCTTACTGGTCCCCTAAGATACTTTTGCTGCCAGTTAGCAGCAAAATTATCTCAGGGGTACTGCTATGCGGTTGCGCCCTGCTCTTATTTTGCCAATTTTTTGGACTTTTTCGGAGCGTTTTTGCTTCACCATTCAACCCTTTCTTTTGCTTAAAAGAAGTAGCACATTGAATCACAACTGGATGTCAAGAAAAAGTGACTATGCTACCACTACGGGGTATAGTGAGTAGAAATGGACATAATCGCAGTTCCTCTGAATTTACTAAATTCTCTAAAAGTTGCTAAGCTACCCCGACTTCTTTGTATGGAGCAAATTGACACAGCACTTTAATAGGTCTTCCGTTCAAGTACGGAATACTCACAAGTTGCAAAGTCGCCTGCGACTGATCGACTCTGCGATTCTCACCGCGATTCCATTAGAATTCAGTTCAGTAAGCGTCGAATCCGTCAACGTTTCTCTGAAAACTCGTAATTGTGTGTTAATATGACCTTCACGAAGAGCTTCCTATAGCACGGGCTCCTCTATATTGGATCGCTACAAATTCTAAAAATAAATTTTTGATTACTCCGTAGTATTCTTAGCACTTTTTCCTCAGAAATTACTCATCAGTAAGTCCTTACCTCAGTCTAATGGCGAATTATTTGAAAAGAAATTCAAACAATTGATGCATATCTTTACCATTGCTCACCAACTGCCAACGCTCTCGTTACAAAACCGATGCTAATAGTCGAAATCATTCAAGATAATATAGTCAGGGTTCAGTACACTCGTTGGGTAGCTGAGTATTCTCCGAAATCCTGGCAATCCTCGACCGAGTCGCCTTGTTCGTCGCGCACAAAGTCCGCGTCCTTTCGAGCTGACCCAGTGACTGGTTAGCTGTGTCCACCTCCTTCTACGTCAACGCTTAGACAACAACCTTTTACGTTGAGACTGTTTTGATCAACCATTTTCGCACCTACTCCTCTTCATATGTCAATACGTAAAATCGCAACTGTAAGTTCGGTGTGCCCATTTTTTCCATCAGTTAAAGCGATACCTATACATCTTTTTCACCGACTATTTGGAGCGTGGACTTAATTGCATCAGATTTATAACTCTCTGATCCTTAAGATCCCCCTTACCCGATCATCCAGATCGCCGCTAATGTCGCCAAGATTTGGCAATTGCATGGGCATTCTTAGACTACTTACAACAACAGGGAAGAACCTTTCTCGCACGTGAGAGACCTGTTCTTCTTGCCTATGAACTGGGACCGCGTTTCAGACAATTGAAAAACTTAATTCTTAGGAAATGCTCATTGATTCTTGTCATTCTTGTGATTCCTCCGGTCACACAGTATGGTGACCCTGTACAGTGACGTTTTCGTAATGCAGGCCATTACGAGGCCAACTTCCGCACTTTCCGTTATTGAGACATCCGAGAGTTTCTATGAATCAAAAAGAAACCCAGTAAATGTCAATTATATCCCGTTTCTTTGCAGATCTCATAGAACTTCGAGGCGATACTTCAAAGAGATTTCATTCAGTGTAGCGAAATGGACAAAGGAAAAATAGTTCACCAAAAAAGTTCAATTACTGAGTTGGCTTATAAACTCTGGAGTACTTGCATATACACTTGTAGATTCATTGAAAAGAATCGGAAACACAAATTGCGACTGGCTGGCTTGTTCTGGCAAATCTGAATAGTTGGTGAGCCCAATTCCAGTGAATCCTTTGGAAGTATTGTTTTCTATGGGAATCCTGTGACAACAGGAACGAAGGAGTCTAGTAAAAGGTGACAGTTCAGTTTTTTAGCCCTACCGGTAACGTCGATTCAGAGGCGGGTTCTCTTATGGGGACATGATTCACACAATGGTCTTTTTACACATCTCCGTTTACAGCATCTCTGAGACGCTTTGGGAGAGGATCCCAATAGGAGCAGCTCTTGTTTAGGAGTCATCTTCAATGCAGTAGGTTGCGGTGCTGAATCCAACAAGTTGTGAATATATTCGATCGGCCTTCGCAGGTAGTATAGCCTGCCTGACCCCTTCATCTTAATTTACCTTTTCGTAAAAGTTCCAGACGAATACTCATCATAGCTATTGCTAACAAAAACTACAAGATGTTCTATAAGTAGCTATGCAGCTCACAAATTACTGTAATGAAGTTATGACTGTTATAAAAGATGCTCGAAATCAATCCCTTGAACTTAAAGACGCAGTTCTAACTATTGCTGCTAGATCCTGAGAGCCTTAAATATCGAAAGATGGGAGGTGTCAACTTGGAGTTTCTGTGTGATATGTAGACTGTCTTCCTAGACTCTTCCTTTCAACGCGTTCTACAGAAAGTTATCCGGTGAAGTCAAGCCTGGTGTGCGCGGGGGTCAGACTTTTCGAGAGGCGGTGCGGTCACTGAAGATGTTAAGGCCTAAGCCTTTGGAAAGTTTCGACTCGTGAACGGCATATGCAGTTGTTTCGTGCTGTTTAAACTGGGTTTTCAACTTCACGCTCAACTAGGAAACAAACAACCTAGGAAAAGCTTCAGAATGCAGTCCAGTAGCATTGCGCATTCATGGTATCCTTAAGGAAAACTGTCCTAAAGACTCTCGTTGCACCAAACACAACGTGACGCTGCATGATTTCTTTGTGAACGCTCGTTGTCATACGATTATCATTTTCGTGAATGGTAGAGACCTGCTCTCAACGTCAGATGAGTTTCGAACCCAAACCAGTTCCATCGGAAAAAGAACTTTCCCGACCTATTGATGGAACATGAGGGTGACTATGAAAAAGTCTTAAGAGTCTTTTAGCGTTGTTCATTCCCGTCTGAGGGATGCACCCCGCATTAGACTTCCATCCAGAATCGTAGAGGCGTATAGAATACTTATGTGGCCGATACAGTGACTTGCAATGACCAGCCCATGCACAGTTCAGGGCTTTTATAATTTTAGACGGGTCTGGTACCAATTTATCGACGCCAGAGGGATAATAGGCTTGTTTGTTCTAAGCGGGTATCGATCTTGGAGTCGAATATGAAACCACTTTCCACTACACCACCTCCACATTTGCAACTGACAGCTATTCTATTCGGAATAAATTCGATTCTGTCTACTATGAGAAGGCCGATTTGTACCAATTAGCCGACCTTGGAGGGATGGAAGGCTTAGACGGGCATTGATCCGTGACCATGCGTGCGTAACAGTGCGCCACTTTTCACTACATCACCCTTCGCCCGAAAGTAAATAATAAATAAGGAATGCTACAAGTCAGTGATGAAGCCGATGCACCGGCCGCCTGCAGCCTACTACGATAAGGCTTCGCCGATGATATGAAAGGGATCATCTGTGCTTCGTCCCGTTGATCATCGATTTCTTCGAGCGGGTGCTAGTAACGTTTCCATTCATCCCTTTCGCGAGCCAGAGCGGCCCATTACAGTTCCTCGCTCGAGGGACACGAGAATTAGCACTCCTTTCATTCAGAGCCTTTGCAGAAAGTCCGACCATCTCGCTGTAGATCGTTTGACGTCCCGAATGATCCAGTCAGTAATCGCCCTGGTCCAACGGCCATCTCTGTATCGCATAACGTGGCCGGCCCACCTGAACTTCGATTTTTTGGCGTAATCAACGGCATCCCTGATCCTCCTTCGATGACGGAGCTCGGAACTGTGGATTCCCTTCTGCACTTGCGTGTACAGGTAAACTCCGAGCATCGTCTATTGCAAAGCGCGTTGAGCATCTTCATCCTGCTTTTGTATTAGGTTGATGCATAATTACTGCGGATTTTTTCGCGGCTTTTTTTCTCTCGATAGAATTTGAATATTGAGTTCGGGTTTTTTCTAGCAATGATCTACTCGATTTTCTCTACAAGAACATACTCAAAAAACCATCCGCGTGTTCGCAAATTAG